GAGGCCCAACAGCCCCATGCACCATGCAATGCTACAGCCTCGGGGAAGAGTGGCTGGAAAGCTGCCCAGTGGAAAAGGACCTGAGGGTGTTGGTTGACAGACGGTTGAAGATGAGCCAGCTTGTGCCCAGGTGGTCAAGGCCAACAACATCCTGGCCTGTATCAGAAATATTGTGGCCATCCAGGTCAGGGCAGTGATCATCACCCTGTATTCGGCACTGGTGAGGCCAAATCTCAAATACGGTGTTCAGTTTTGGGCTCCTCACTAAAAGAGAGACATTGAGGTTCTGGAGCATATCCAGAGAAGAACAAGAAGGCTGGCGAAGGGTCTGGAGCACAAGTCCCATGAGAAGCAGACGAGGGAACTGGGGCTGTTTAGCATGGAGAGAAGGAGCCTCACAAGAGACCTGATGACTCTCTACAACTACCTGAAAGGAGGTTGTAGTGAAGCGGGTGTTGGTCTCTTTTCCCAAATAATAAGTGATAGGACAAGAGGAAATGTCCTCAAGTTGTTTCAGGGAAGCTTTAGATTGGATATTAGGAAAAATTTCCTCACTGAAAGGGTTGTCAAGCACTGGAACAGGCTGCCTAGGGAAGTGGTTGAGTCAGCATCCCTGGAGGTATTTAAAAGACATGTAGATGTGATGCTTAAGGACGTGGTTTAGTGGTAGACTTGGCAGTGACAGGTTAATGGTTGGACCCTGATCTTAAAGGTCTTTTCCAACCTAAATTATTCTAAATTATGTAATTGTTCATGTAGGCAGCCAAAACTGCATTATTATTTGTGGTTAACATGGCATCTTAGCATATGCTTGGGCATATACCCTCCAAAATACTGTTGTGTCACCTTTCCATCACTGAAGAGTTTTATTCAATATGAAGCATTAGAAAGTAGGAGCCTAACTAAATTTCTGGAACAATGGCTTTGGGGGGTAAGGAAACATATCTTTCCATCTTGATGTCCCAGAAAGTATAATATGAATGAATTCTGTATTTCAAAAATAGAGCAAACAGAATCATCAAAAGTATGCCAGTGCTGAGGGCAGCCTGGAGAGAAAATCACTCACAAGGCAAATTGTTGCTGCTAATGGTTCACAACTACAATGAATTTGTTTTGAAACTGTGGAACAAATTTTCTTAGACATCCTCAGCTTGCAGGTTGATTTAATGCTGTTTGTTGCATTCTGTGATCAAGAAGTATTGAATAACTGAGGTGGACATATAAATCAAGGTTTTCTTTCTGTGGCAGCATAGCTGTACCAGTGCATCTAAAGTAAGCTTGTAATAGTAAATTTTTTAATATGATGTTAGTGCAGTCATTCACGAAATGAGACCTTCATGGGTATTTTCATCTAAACAAACTTGCCCAGAAGAAATTAACCTAGATTAAAATACTTTAACTGTAGACAAGTTGTCCCCATCCAGTGGTAATTTCATTAAACATCTGTTGGAATTGCACCATTCTGAGCACTGAAAATATTTTGCTTCCTTCAAGAAGGCAGTTTACATGGAATACATCAGCACTTTAAAATGAAATTCATTCTCTTGAGCAAGCTGAAGTTGAAGGTTAGAGGTGATTGTCATGTATTTATCAAAGCACTTTGGTAAAGGAGAACCTAGTGGCCAAAGTGAACTAGAGCTGCATTTTTCCCTTCAGATATTTACACGGGAGCTGTGCATGAGTAGATGACTGAGACAGAACAGATTGTAGCTCTGGTTATTGTAAGAGAGATGGTAGCTTCTGAGGGGAGGCCTAATGTATTCCTCCCACACCAGAGCAGTCTTGCCAGTATAATGCACTGAGGAGTTTCCTTTCTCTAATTAGTTCTATGTCATTAGCCTTCATTCTACTCCTAGGATAGATGAGGTGCACAAAATAGCATAAGGTGATTTAGTTTCTTTTTATGTGCATCTAAGGAGCTGTACTCTCACATGTTTAGAAGAGCGCTTTTAAATTTTAAAAATGAGTTGGCACAGAAAACGAGTAAGAATGTGCCCTGGGGAAGAATTGGGACATTTATTCTGCTGTTGTGGTTATACTTGTGCTGCGCGACACCTTCGCTCACAGCATCATTTCTTTGTTTCACTGGGGAAAGAAAAACGACAGTGGCCCCTTGTTTAACTCACATGCTTTTAAAAATATACCCAACGTTAGAAAACAGCTTTGGTGAAATAGTGACTTCAGCTTGCTTTTTGGACTAGGATTACTGTGTTTTAAAGTCTGGGAGGGAGGAATAATAGTCTGCCTCTGTGCTCTGGAAGTCTATGAAGAGCACACTTATGGTAGGTCTTACGATACTGCATACTTACTGTAAATAAAGTTTAAGAGCATGAGTTCTTTTCTGTTTTGGGGGGCTGACAGTGTTGCTGTTTACCTCATTGTGCAGTGGCTTGCTCTCAGCTGTGAATGATGGCTGGCCTGTTTGTGCCTCAGGTGGGCAGCAGTTCCCTAAGTTTTTAGGCCTCCCTGGTCAGCTGTAAAACCACTTTGCATCAGTTGAAGTTTCTTGTCTCAGCTGCCTTCCTCAGGCATGTAGAGGGGAGAAGAACGGAAAAGCATATGAACTGGTCTGTGGGCTTTGAATGGAAGCTATACTAGGTGTTCTACAACAAAAAATGTTCTTTGGAGGCTTTTAAAGCTATATGCTAGGACTGTTTACATTTATTTTGGAAATAAGAACATTATTTGTATTAAGAGTAACGGAGAAAAGGAAAAACAGTAGTGTGGGGAAAAGTAGAGACCTAAGGAATGTGGTGGCAGGAGAGCCTGTTTCACTGTGGCCAGTTTGGGGAGCTGGAAGAGAGGCTGGGCTCGGTGTTGCTGCCATCCCATCACTGAAATTTTCAAATGATCAAGAGGGAGCGCTTTATTACAAAGTGTTTAGTCATTTGACAGAGATGGTTCCTGCATTCTGAGAGAAGGAATTGTCTCATGTCATCTTCTGGTCTGATTCTGTGTAACAGTTGCTAGTGAGGCTATGTGATGTGCACTTACTTGCCTTCCAGTTTTAGGAGCTTTTAGATAGCTGAATTATTTAAGGTATTTTCCTTCTCAGGGGAGAAAAACAGATGAGAGAAATGAGCTGAGATAAAAAATTAGGTCAACTCTCTTCCACTAGTAAACAAATGAACAGCAGTGACCAAAAAAATAGAAGTAAATAATTTCTATTGATGGTAATTTTTACCAGTAAATAATTCCTGCTAATCAAATGTGAGGTCCTGGAACCCATCTGCAGAGCACTTCGATGGGATAGCTTATAATGATATCATGGATAGAAACTGGACTGTAATTGCTCCATCTGTCCTCTAAGAAAATGTCACTGTTTTGCAGGAAATACCAAAGCAACAATTTCTATATACACATGCACACATGTGCCATTTTATTCATTAAATAGCAAAGTGAAATATAAGACAGATAGCTAGTGTAAGTATTTTTGCCCTTCCATAAACAAACCTAAACATAAATGATGTATTTCTATTGCTGTTGTTTCTAGTGTTGTTTAAGTTTTCTTCCGTTGGTAAACCATGTGTATGCATCAACATATTGTTCGGCAATGGCTCTGTCACTCTGCTTCTCATTCAGAATAGTGGGGTTTTTTTGTCATGGTGAGATGTCTCAGCTTTGGGGACAAGTTTAGCTGCAAGATATCTTAAAGAAACTTGAGTCCTTTAAGACTGGGCTACTGCCCAGGGTCTGCTTGAATTAAGAATTTCATTTTATATTGTTTAGGTCTTTTGCATGGATTCCTTGGTGTTTGAAGGAATTTGCCTTGTGTTTTGAGTTTCAGGGTTTGGGTAGCATAGACAAACATATGAACACACACATGCATATATCTAATTCTTAAGGTTTTCTTTCACGCAGATCTCTGAGGTTAGATTTGACTATTCTATCATATGAGAAAACCTTTTTCTTTGTTTCGCTGCTGTTAAAACTGGGACTGGTCAGTATGAATCAATATATTGGTGTCTAACTGTTCATGCGTCATACCCACAGAGAACTCTAAGTGGTGTAACTGCTTCAGTTGCTTGAACTCTGTCTTCCAGAGTGCCAAAGTGCTTGCAAAGAAGGAGCTCTCCTACATGCCCATCATTGGCTGGATGTGGTATTTCCTGGAGATAGTCTTCTGCAAGCGTAAGTGGGAGGAAGATCGGAAAACAGTCACGCAGAAGTTGATGAATCTCCGGGACTACCCTGAAAACTTTTGGGTGAGTGATGGCTAACAAGTGGAGTGTGAAGTGCTGTAGTGCTTGGAGTAGGATGAAGGGCATGGGCAATATGTGACAGTCACCAGGTTGCTCCCAAGAACTCTGATTCATGAGCTTCCTGGCAGTACCAGGAGAGTACTTTCTAAGAATTGAACTCTCTCTTGAGTTTCCCGTGTAATAGTCTGTCTTGTCTGTTTTCTTCCTCTGTAGTGTGGAGCCCTACAGATGTTATTGCAAAAATACCTCCACTGCAGTCATTTAGTAAACTTTGTAGTCCTCTAAGTACAGGGGCTGGAGAGGGGTAGATGCAGGGGTTCATGGCAGTGTATCAGATGCATGCAACAATGTTGTATCGAAACACCTTAGCTGTATTCTTTACCTAAGCTTCCCTCTCACCTTCAATTGCAGAGTTCATACTATTATTTTCTCCTTCCATTTCCCTGTGATTCTTTCATTCCTGCAAAGGTGGTAGGTCAAACATGGCCCAGTAGAAGTGGAAGCCACAGATAAGTACCTGGTCAGAGAAGTGGTCCCTGGGGCTGTTGGCTGTCTTAACAAGGAGAGGATTGGAGTCATCTTTCAGTAACAGGAAAGTGCTACATTTTGCATCACCATCATTTTTTTAGCATGAAGCCTGTCTGGCATTTCCTAGTCCTAGAGGGAATGAAAAGCCTTTGAATTTTTTTCTCTTCTCGGTATTCAGAAAAATCCTACTTTTTGTGAGCTAGTGATGGTCAGAGAGGGTTTCAGTAAAGGCAATGGTAACTTAAGCAGCCTTACAAGGGCCTACAGAAACTATTGCTTAGGAAGCAGTTTTCTAATGAAGATGTAGATGTTCTCTCTCTCAATCTTTTTTTTTTTTTTTTTTTTTTTTAAATTGTCATTGATTAAATGAGCACTAAGCAATCGAAACACAGCTCTGTACTTCGATAACAATTAGTGACTTCCAGGCAGGAGGCTGTTCAGCAAAGGGACTATTCTTAGTTTCTAATTCCAGTCTCTCTCACAGGGAGAGAACTCAAAAAGCCTATGCTCTGTGACTCTTAAAAGGTGTTGAATGCCCTTCTGTACACCTAGGCAGTTCAGCTGTAATTGGTGAGCACAAACTGCCATCATTCTTTATATACTCTTGTAGAGGGATTACTAAGAAGGAGCTGTGTCTGTAATGAGACATACAGTTGTTAATGTACGCCTGGTGTTACTGCAGTGTGGAGATTTAATTTGCCTTTGTATGGTAACATAATGTCAAAAGGCACAGCAACAGAACCTGGGAATGTAGAAAGACAGAGCATGGTAGGTGGGCTAGAAGGATATTCTCATCAGTTTCTGTATGTTTCATCTAGCTGTTTAACATTATGCACGTGATACATGAGTAAAAGTGCTCTTTTACTGATGAGCTGGAACTGAAGCTGGCTGCTTGGCTAGTTTTCTTAAGCCTTTCTTTGTTGCCTAAATCTTTGCTGTGGGTTATAAGGACTTAGCTTCTGCAATTTGGCAATGCTCTCTGATGTGTTAGTTTACATTCAGGCTTGGCAGAAAGCAGATGAGCAAGTGGTAAATCTCCAAAGATCTGTCTGTTCTTCTCTCTTGCCTGCCAGTGGCAAAATCAGAATTGTTCATGTCTGAGCACTTCCACTCGTAAGGGGATGAGGCTTTCAGTTGTCCTGCATCTACTGCCATGCATCTCTTACCAGTTCTGTCATTAGCATAGTAGTTACTGTCTGCAGTTGTCAGCAGTCCTGATGCCATAGTGAAAGCAAACAGGTTGAAGGGAGGGGAAGCAAGCTGAGCACTGAAGCATTTCCTAGAAATATGTTTGATTTAGACAGTTACCAAGTTTTAGATACCATGACACTCAAACACTACACTGTCAGTGAGAGATTTGCAACAGGAGGTATGTTTTGAGTGTTTTCTAATGTCTTATTAAAGACGGAGTGGCTCATTTAGAGAAATCAGGTCATTTTGATAACAAGTAGCAGAGCAGATGTTAAAGCGTAAAGGCTAGAGTTTAAACCAGAAGATGGCTGGGGGGGGAGGCAGTTGAGACTTCAGGGCAATTAAATTGGCTAAAAGTATATTTGGCTAGAGGTGTCCCTGCTAGCAGTGTTCATTTGGGCTGTGTTGGTGGGAATTAGAAGCTCCTCTGGTCAGACACATATAAAAGACGTGAGCTGCTGTCTAACTGTAGTTCTCTCTTGTTTTTAGTTTCTGATTCATTGCGAGGGCACAAGGTTCACAGAACAGAAGCACCAGATTAGCATGCAGGTAGCTGAAGCCAAAGGCCTGCCCAAGCTCAAATATCACCTACTGCCACGAACGAAAGGATTTGCTGTCACCGTGCAGTGTTTGAGAAATGTAGGTAAGGAAAGTCACACGGAACAATTGTAAATGGCTGTTTCTTCTAACTGCTGTCACTTTGCTCTTCTTTTCCCTGTAGCATGTGTCCTAACAGAAGATCCCTGGGATCCTTTCTGACTTTTCTTCCACTAGCTTGCAAAGATTAGGTTTTACTAACAAAGTCCTGGGGCACCTTGGTGGTTTTTTGGTTGCTGTTTGGTTTTTTTTTTCTGGTGGGTTTTTTTTTTTTTGTTGTTGTTTTTTTTTGGGGGGTTGTTTTTGTTGGGGTTTTGTTTTTTTTTTTTCCCATTTTTGTTTTGGTTTCTGTTACTGTGATTCTGTATCAGGGGATCTCAGGTTGCATATTTTGTACCTGTTGTCAAAGTGCAGTATTAGTATTTACTAAGCAATCCTGTTCTAAATGAAGCAAACCCATCACTAGAGAATCTGAGGCAGTGTCTTAAATATTTTCTTGTGGTAAATGTCTGCCTCAGCAGTATTTTAAAATCAAAACCTATTCTGTAATTTCTGTATAGATACACTCTTTAGTTTCTTTGTGGAGGTGGGTAAGAGTAGACCTCAACTGAAGATATATGTAGGTGAAATTTATAAATCATTTTTAAAATAAATTATTTCTACATTACAGAGCATGAGTAAGTTTTTCTGTGTTAATGTTGTGCTGAACTTCCCACCATCCAGTTATTTCTGGTTACTTTCATTTGCCAACTCTAAAGTAACATCAGTAACAACATGGCATGCATACCTTTGAAGTGATTTTCTTTGACTAATAAAATCCACCAAAGTCTTCTACTGTGTACTTCATGGACAAAGGAAAGATAGTGCTAATTAGCCATAGTGCTACAGTATCTTTGGGGTTTGGTAGATTTGTGTGTTGTTTTAGAAGGCTGATATGTAAGAAAGACGAAGTGGTTAGTGGTTTAGAAGAGAATGTTCTAGCTTGACTGAAATTAATGTCAAAACCTCTTTCGTCTTTGAAGACATGTTTTCATGTGGCATATCTGGGATAGCTGCTGTGAAAAAAGCCTTGCAGTCAGCTCTCTTGCTCTCTGTTATTTTAATTCTACATACCCTCTTGCAAGTCAGGTAGATGGTATCACTATTTATTGTAGCTTGCCAGGCATCCGCAACTTCCCACCCCCAGAATGGGTAGCATAGGTTGGGTCTCTTCTGGTATATGAAAAAGAGGAATGTTATTTGCAGCATCTAGCAATGCCCATAGGGGCACAGTTTAACCTTCCCTTTTGAATACAGGCGACTGTTTTGCTGAGGGTGGGGGGAGGTAGACTTGAGACACTGAAGAAGAGCTGAGTCAAAACTCTGTGACCTCTGATGCCTGAGCTGGGAATCAGGGACAGGTTATTCTGGTGTTTTTTTTCTTTTCACTACTCTGTAAAGCAAGCAAAACATGGTACGATTGTGGACAAGTAGCTGATTCATGGGAAAATGTTTTAAAAGGAAACATTTTTAGGGAACACAAGTGACCTTTATAAAAAGTTTTGGGCATTCATGTAATACACTACAGTAACTTAGCTTCTTAGGATCCTAAATATTTGAAATACCTTCAGAAAAAGAAGCCTGAGATTTCTGGATTACTCATATACTTAGAGAAGTGTATGTTGCTACCTCAGTCCAGAAGCTGTGACTTGCTAGATCAAATAAGGTACAGCTAATAAGGTAATATTTCCCTGTGAGGGTTCAGGGACAAGCACAGAATCATAACTTCTCATAGTTTTTGTTGAAAAAACATTCCTGAGGAAACAGCTGATGACCTGTTGCAAAATCTACTGGGTATGTTGCTTTTCTTGCCTTGTCGCTGTTTGCCATAAGAGGGAGATAATAAGAGCTACTGTGTGGGTTACAATATGTTTGTCTCCTTTAGAGACAAGGGGTGCATTTGAAAGCCCTTTGTAAACAGAGCTCCTTGTAACATTCATATGTGCAGGTAACAAGGAAGTCCAGAAATGTTTCTTGAATTGAGAATGTGATGAAAGCGTGTTTTGAAAGTCCGTAATCTAGAAATGCAAGTTCTGTCTAGAAATTACTCCTTTCTTGCATGTATACTGATGAGGTTTGACCACTTATCTCTGTTAACCCGCATGGACATTTGGTACCCACATTATAAGCAGTAACATTCAGGTGTCAGTATATGCAGAAGCTGTGTGCTGTAATAATTTGGGCAAATTTTTGTTTCGAATATTTACCTTGTACAAAGTACTCTTTGACTGGTTCACTGTAAATCCTCTGAGTTTCATTGTTACGTCCTGCCTTATAATGCAGACCAGTCAGTGACTGTTTTCCTCTATTACAGCCTCAAATTACTTGTAACAAACACCATCAGAGTGACTTCTGAATTGCTGCTCTGTCTGCAGAAGCAGCAATAGCAAACAAGCAGGTGTTCATAACTTTCAGTGACATGTCTAATGACTAATAGCATGACTCTTGCAGGCTAACCTATCTCTTGTGGCACTATTCACATCCATTTTGGTGGGCAAGCCTGCAGTGGAGTATTCCTGCATGTCTGAAAGTGAGAGACTGATGCTGAGAGCTGCCTGAGCCTATTTTGGGGCCTGCCACTTAGGCTAATGCACTTCTGCTCTTCTGCAGGGGGTGGTGGGTGGCTGGAGTGCCTCACTAAGGGAGATAGCTGCAGCATGACATAGCAGTGAAGGCAAGCCAAATTTTCAGATCCACTTCCAAGCTGGGTGTGACAAAGAGGTCAGCGTTTCCTTTTTCTTTATTCTTTGTTCCTCCTTTCTGACAAGGGTGTGATTCAACCTGTGAGGCTGTAGTACTATAGGATGGATGGATGCTGGTTTCCATGGCTGTAGCTGTAATTCACGCACAATATGGTCCTTTTCAAAACTTTTTGTCAACTCTTAATGCTACCTGATGCACTAGTTCTGTGTATGCTGGAAACAGGCACTGGTGACAATCTGACAAGTCCATCTGTTTTGAAAAACTTAGCTTCAGAAGGAGTTTATTTAATGTGCATACATGGGAAACTGCCTCCATACTGTCAGAATAAGCACAAGATAAAAATACTTTTCACACAAAATAACAAGAAAAGAACCTTCCCTCCTAACTAGTTTCTTTTATAAGTGATAATGGAATTCTTTTCTCTTCAGAGACTTACTTTCACAAATTCAGATCTCTTCACATAGTTTGATTCTTAAAGGAGTGCTCTTAATAGTTTTTTGAACTTGTTTTGATATTTTTATCAGTGGCCATCTCTACCAGTTTGTTAGTACAGATGCAGTCCCCAGGAACTTCATTTCTAGAAGCTGTTTGCTGTCTTAATAACTCGGTGTTAGGTTTTAGAGCTTGCTACCTATACAGTTCATGGAAGCAAATGAAAATACAGATCTGTTTATAAAACTCTCATCCATTACTTACAGTAAAAATAAATGTAATAAATATTGCAGGAGATATATTTAACTGTTACTTTTATTGCCTGGCTGTGTACCAGGCAGTTTCTTTTGGCTGTTTTGATTTAGTTAAGCCATGTATTTGAAAATGTGCCTGATGGTGGATTGTAGCTAACTTCAGGTTGCCAACCTTTTCCTCCAGTTGTGTATGCTGGGAACTACTGTCCAAGAGGCAACATGTGAGAATAAATTCCAGGGTGATGAGCACATGTAGTTCAATATGACAGTGTTTGGGGGTTTTGCAGTGTTGGAGTTTTTTCCCCATGAGCTGCACTTTCATCCTGGAGTTTTCAGTGTTTAGCGAGGCTTCTGGTCATCCTCCTGAGCAAGGTACCAAGTTTAAGAGGGTAAGTGTTTTTTGACCAAGAGCAATTAAGTGTTAAAGGATTGTGTCAAGGTGGCTGTTGTACTAGCAGTACAGTGAATTTCACTGTCTCTTCCTCTCCCTTTCCCAGTCTTCACTTCAGATAATGAGGGGCTAGTATGAATCTGTATATGGGCATACTCGTTGACTATTTGTCAGATGATTGTTCTGGCATAATCTACCATGCCCACAAAATAATGCATGAAATTCAAGAGGACAGTTGAAGTAAGAAAAATCCTCTCTAGAGAGTTTATTTCTTGGGTTCAAATTAAGAAATCTTAAATTCTCAAATACATAGCTGTCTGTCAGAATGCTGTACAAGGAACCAAAAGTTAAAGATATATTAAAAAAAAAAAAGCTGGACAGAGATGAGAGAACAGAACAAAAAACCCCAGACTTTTTTGTCAGAAAATAGCAGTTCAGCTGGAAAAAATTTATTTCCAGTTAGGATCTGTTCTGAGCCTTTGAAAAGGCTTCCAAATACTGAACTGTGTTTGGGTTTTAATTAAAAAGATGTTTCAAGATGACTTCTTTGAGAAAACATTTTATTTTGCAATTGAAGCACAACTTCTCCAACACGGCCTAAATTACTCCGAGAGTGAGACAGTTGCGTTGCTGTCAAGATGCTGTAGAGTTTTTTACTTGGTTTAGAGCATAAGATTTCTGGACTCTTCAGCTTTCGGATGAGACATTCATGAGATATGCTATTCTAATTATGTAATTACGAAATACACATTTAATGAAAAGCGACCCCAGTGTGTCACACAGCATGCTAGTGCTGCTTTGGCTGTGGAAGCTTTCCAGCAGGTTTTAATTCCATGCAGTCGTTTTCTTTGATGCTTCTGCTGTTGTTCTTCTGCACTTTCAAAACACAGAAGCTTAAGTCTTCATTGTTTTCTAGCTGGGTATGACAGAGGTCTGTTTACTCCTGCAAATGCTCTCATTTTCCTGGATTTAGCACTGCTTCGCACCAAAAGATGTCAGTGTGATATTAAAAAGCACTGGACTGGATATCAAACTGCTGAGTGGTTAAAAATGGGAATGGATTTTTTGGTTGTTTTTTTTTTTTTTTGCCTTGGAGTGAAAAAAAACCTCTGTGTAAAGTCATCAGCACATACAGATGTTCCTGACCACTTCTGCAGAAGTTTTTCAGAACAAGAGAAGCATCTTCCAATGTGTCTGAACAAGCACCCAATCCGTATAAAAACTCAAATGCAAATGTCTTCTTGATGAAAGAACAAGTGCTGTGTACATCATACTTTATTGTGTTCCTATTGTCATTAGAATAAACTCAGGCTATTAAAGAATAAAGTGAGAAGCTTACCCTGTATAAATCAAATTGAGCTCTTCTTTCAATTACATAGGATTAGTAAATTAGAGTAGATTAGTAAAATCTTTCTACACTAAGCAGCTTAAAAATGGAGGGAGGTAGTTTATTCAAAGTACAGTTTCCTACTTACGTTGTACAGCAAGAGTAGTTTGCTTGAAGCAGATTTTCACTTACGTGTTGTAGTTTTGAGTTTGGGCTGAAAACCTAACTGTAGTAGAAAAAGAATAGAGTTGTTAATGAAGGATACAGTCTGTGTGCAGCGATAGGTTTTGGGCTCTTTTCAGGATTTCTTTGCAGAGCTGAAGCCAGGCTGTGTTCTGTTTTGCACTATGAATTCTGTTTTGCGATAACAGATGATGTGGTGAGTTTCTGGGGGTGACTGTTGTGACCAAGCTGTAGTTATCTCTTGTAGCTAAAGAGGTTTCAAAACGAAAAGTAAATCTGTTCTGTGTAATAAAAGGCTGTCCTAGATGGGTCAGGAGCTCTCACAATAGTTCATCTCAGTGTTTGTTAATGCAGAACTTCAGAGCAGAAACCCTAAAATGCAGCAGGCTATGTGTGAAGTGCATGTTAGTCGCTTTTGTGACCAAAAAAAAACTACCAAAGTTTTGTGGCTGGCATTGATCGCAGTGTTCATACCATGATCTGCAATTGGTTTCAGCGTCAAGAAAATGAATTGCTATCTAGTAATTTCGTGACATCAGGAAAATAGCGTCTCTAAGGATGTCTTCAGGGAAACTTTTTTGATGCATTTTACGTGGTTTAAAACAGTGAACATTTTTTCTGTAGAAACTACTTGTTAATGTTGTCTTAGTTTAACTATGAACAACAATTGCAAATATTTTTACTGTTACATGCAGTCCTGAACTGGACGAAGTTCTCAAGGCTGAAAGCTTGGTTGCAGTTTTGTTCTGTGGAACTTGTATGCTATATCTCTCACTGCTGCATGTCTTCACAGCAGCAGCCCAGCTTACACAGGATGTGGTCTGTTATTATGTCTCTGCTGTATAGCAAGTGTCTCAGTTACCAAGTAATGAACATGAAGGGGAGGTTGTTTTGAGCCATCGTGATTCATAGTTGCATTAAGCCCTCTTGCTGTGGGATGTGCCTCACACGCACTTCACCCATTCTTAGTCAGTATTAAAGTGTGTATGTGCCTGGTTGTTTATCCAGATTTGGAGAGGAGTTGGTCATTCACAGCAAGTTGAGAAAGCTAATAGGTTTTCAGTCCTGGATACATTAACTGCCAGAAACAGTAACCGTATTCACTGTGGCCCAACATTCTGCACCTGGTGGTAGACAAGGGTGGAGAGCAAACCATTCTGTTCTGCTGATGCAATTCCTGAAAGGGTCACTGGTTATTTGGCTTCATAAAAACTGCATGTTGAATATTCCATTGTCATCTTTGCCTTGGTGACAGCTCAAACTATGATGCTATTGCTGATGACTTCATATGTAAATATGCTCCTTGTTTGAGAGAGAATGACTTATTTCCATTCTACAGTAATCACATAACCTGTTTCTTTTCTTGTAGTTTCTGCAGTCTATGATTCTACCCTCAATTTTAGAAATAATGAGAATCCAACATTGCTGGGAGTTCTAAATGGAAAGAAATATCATGCAGATTTATATGTAAGGCAAGTAATCCATGTTTTAATTCCTTTTTGCCATACAGGAGTATGTACTTGCAATCACAATTGCACAAATAAGGAAGTATTTTTGAGTAGGTAGTGGATAGCAAATCTCTACCAACCTGGCTTCACACAACTGCAGATAAAAACTCATATGGGATGGGAAGGGTTTCCTGTAAAGCTCTGTGACTATAAATATCTGGGGGCCCTGTGAGTGTCTACAGGATTTTTTTGCTATTTTCTTATTCAGTTGTGTGTCTGTTTGTCAGCTCAGCAGCAACAGTGGGATGGACCTCTTTTCACTCACTTGGCCAGAATACCAAACATCTACTAAGTGTTCAGATGGAGTGGCTTTATACCTGTCTCTGCCACAACAGTTCCCACTCAGGTGGAGGTCAGGCTCAGGACTGTTTGATGTAGTTGTTAGTGTATTTGACTGCTGCTCCCTCCCTACCCAGAAAGGGGTTGTTTAATGAAAAGAAAATTACCTGGATTCTATATAATAAATGTTTCTGTAGTGATGGTTACTCCAATGGTTTCCCATAATCCTAATGGGAAAGGGCCAGTTCCAAAGCCCTTATTTTCCATGACAGGTTCTACCAGCAGCACCCATGATGCAGGCACTCAGGGTATGTGATGGTTTAGGTTTGGAACATAGGACCCTAGAAGTGATCCCACAAGTGATGAGGAGTTCATCATAACCCCTTTATAGCTATATTTGGCTGGTCCAAGTGGTTTATCTTGGGTACCAACGTCAAGTGAAGTAGGGTGACCTTTTCTTACCTCCCTTTTTCTTCCTGTTTGAAAAAAACATTTTCTTCAGAACTGTTTTGCCCAAGGGTAAAAGGCAATTTTATCTTGACTCCTCATGGATGCAACATGAACTTGCACCCCCACTTGGCTCTCATAGGCAGCTCAGCCTAATAGCCTTTTCTTTGGTGTACATGGCCTGGCTGGCTAGTGTTCATGGAGGAGCAACTGGCCCTACCTGCATGGGCCATTCCTCCAACACTGCAGAGGTGTGCATCTTACTCTGTCTTCCTTTACGCCTTTCCAGCCTGCTGCAAGTCAGTCCGGTAGAGCGTGAAAATTGCTTTTCACAACTCAGGTCAGCTATTTGCCCTTCTGTCCTTTTGAGCTTCCTGAAAGGCTCTTAAGGACACGGTAAATGGTAAACCTTATGGCAAAATTTGTTTTGGCAACTAATTGGGGTCCATTATAGATGTTCTTCAAAATCCTCCATATTTGCTTATTGAGGTGCTGCTGGTGTTGCACTAAGGAGAAGTTTGCAAAATTTGGGTGCTCTTGTTAGTCTCTGCTTAAATTGTGTTGATGTCTAATGTTTGTCATCTTATGACTTTCTTAAAGAAAGGAACAAATCAGTATTATCACATCTCTTTATTTATTAACTGCAAACAGGAGCGTCCTGACTGTAAAAGTGCTCTCTCCTGTGCTGAAGGAGGTTAATTTGATGTTGCTTTTAATAGATATTAGTAAAAATGTATGTTATGCTGAAAAATGTAAAATTGTTAAGTATTGCTATTAGCATGCCTAAATGAGGATGACAGGGGGAATTTTTCTGTTGCAGGATTAGTGACCAAAATTCACGTAATGTGATGAAATCTTTGTTTTGTCAAGAGAGGTTTTTCCAGTGATAGAAGCTGTTTTGCTGGAAATTATCCAACCAAGCTGCATGTAACAAAAATTGTAGGAATGGGAAATGTTAGTACTAGAGTACTTTACCCTGCATATAAGGATAGTTCGGTTTTAATCTCTAATGTCTAGCTGATTAAATATAGCCTTGAACTCTATAGGTCGGGTAAGAAATTAGTTAATTCAAACCCTTTTTTGGAAACAGAAAATTGCAAACCTTTATCTAGAAAGTGAGCTTGTGAGCTCAAACATATGCATTACTGTTTCAGAAATCTAAATCTCTCAATTTCAGATACATCTGAAAACTGAAGGTTTCTAGAAGCAAACTATACTTTGCTGATCTGGGAGCTGTTACCACAAATTAAGAAAAGGTGGAAAATGTAGTGAGTCTCCTGTCAGATGGATAATCTGTCTGTGTAATGTAAGTGTTGTTCATGGGAGCCAAAGTATTTAATATTCTTCAATTTCTCTTGT